ACTATTGTAAAATAGACACCTGAAGGGGAGGGAGAGGAAGAGCCAGAGAAAACTTGTAAGCCCGTCTTCAGCCTATAACTGATTGGAATACCTAAAATGGGGCTAGAACTTGCCCAGTGAAGGAGGCTCACTGCAGAGCCTTTGCATTGCACAAGACTATAGGTGGAATCCCGATCCCCATCCAGAATCTTCTGAGGTGGGACATTTCCACTTGAAAGGACAAGCAGACCAGTCTGGAACAGCTAGAAGAACAGAAGATACTTCTTGAAAGAAAGACCAGCAGGAAAAAACCAAAAACAATAACAGCAGTCCAATTGACTACTACAAGAACAAGCAAGTTATTCCCCAAGGAGCCATCAAGGCAAGAGATCAGGTCCCCTCAAGGCAAACCCCTTCCAAGATTGAAACTCAGTTGGAATTCTATTTTTTTAAAGTCTGAACTACTCTGCATTGACTAAAGCAATTAAAATTTGATGGAAAGACAATGGTCACAACATTCAACCTCTAAGCAAGCCAAGAGTCTGTCATAACACATTTAAAAACTCTTAATATTACTTAAAGATGGTTATGTAAAATGTAAATTTTTTAGTACATCAAGCTTTGTTGTTGTTATGTGCCATGGAGTTGGTTCTGACTCATAGCGACCCTGTACAGGGTTTCTGAGGCTGTAAATCTTTATGGGAGCAGAAAGCCTCATCTTTCTCCCGCGGAACAGCTGGTAGTTTGCTGTTAAGTGCCATCAAATCCTAGTTACTGTTGTTAAGTTCTGTCAAGTCAGTTCTGACTCATAGTGACCCTGCAAAGGGTTTCCAAGGAGCAGCTGGTAGGTTTGAACTATTGACCTTAAGGTTAGCAGTTCGTGCTTATCCTACAGCACCACATCAGTACAACAAAATGAATAAAACATCTGCCCTGCCCTTGAGGGAGCTGCCCCTTCTTCACCAAAAGAAACCAAATTGGAAACGTAACCTTGATAAGAAACTATTTTCATATCAGACAAGCAATATGTGGCATGATCACCATGAGATAGAAACAATGGTAAAAAAAAAAAATGATTTGCAAGTAGATAAAAGGAATTAATAGATTTTCAATAAGCAGTGGGGCACACTGGCTGCCAGTACCCATTTCTGTTCCCATCCAGTCAGTTTTTAAAAAGAGAAAACTATAATTGCTTAGTGAGAGAAAAACACTGAGCACATTTCCAATCAAGCCCAAAGCAACATGCCATTAAGCCTTCTACAGATCTCCATGTATGTGAGTTATGATGAACTGCATTTAAGACTACTCATTAGGTTTGCTTCTATTTTTTGTATATCTTATTGTTTTAATATGTTGCAGGGCATAATTTGCTGATGCTATCATTCTCAGATGTTCACATGCAGATGTTTGGTTTTATGATTTACTGCTCAAAAATTCTGAATTTATAGAGGTATTGATAATAAAAACAATAATAATGGAACCTTAAAACAAACAGAAGTATTTGACTCATATCAGAACCAAGTTAAGATGGAGTCATTGCAACATAACCCCCATTGTCGTGGATGACCTGTATTTATAAGAGATGATGCGCCAAGAATATGGAAACTAAAAAAAAAAAAAGCTTTTGTTTACTTACCTTCTCCAGTGCAGCTTGAACAATTGATTCGCTTTCTGTGTCTAGGGAAGATGTAGCCTCATCTAAGATCAGAATCTTGGGGTTTCGAACTAAAGCTCGAGCAATTGCGATTCTCTGTTTCTGTCCTCCGCTCATTTGAGCTCCTTTCTCTCCTACTAAGGTATTAAATTTCTGATAAAAAATAGGACCAAGCACAGAAAGAGAAGGCAAAATGATCAAGGGTAAGAACTGAAGACAACAATGACAGTAATGTTTTATAACAACTTAATCACTACTTTAGGTTGGTTATTTATTTATTTTAACCTTTGATTTGTTCTTTCTGAAAACAAACAACTGTGAGAAAAGAGTCGAATGTGACTAGGACTAAAAGAAATGTGAATATATGATATATGAGTAGTTTCCAAAACATTAATCATTTGAATCCATTTTCAAAGCTTTTCAGGTATTTTTAAAATGCTTTGAGATCTTTGAAAATAAGAAAAATTGCACTGCAATAAAAACATAATCAATAATTATTTGAAAAGTTCACTAACAATTTAATAGATTACCCACAATTTCCTTTCTGGATACTTGGATAAATATTATGAAAAAAATTACTACGAGAATAAACTTCTTCCCAAAATGTTCTTTGGCCCTGAAGACATTTTTCATCTTCTTTTACCATTTTATTATTTTTTTGTGTGTGTATATACATCTTAAAATAAGGTGGTCTGGTAGCATAGTGGTTACGAATCGGGCTGCTAACCTTAAGGTCAGCGGTTCGAAACTACCAGCCGCTCCGCGGGAGAAAGATGAGGCTTTCTACTCCCGTAAGGATTTACACCCTTGGAAACCCTATACAGGGTCGCTATGGGTCGGAAGCGACTCGAAGGCACTTAACAACAACAAATACATCTTAAATAAAGTATATATTGCCAGATATTTAAGCATGGTCAGTAATATTCTTTTGGGTTAAATTCCTAATTCAGAATTCATTTCTTTAAGAACAAATTTTAAATCTTTAATTTCCAGAAACTATACTTCACATCACTGGGCCATTAAATAGCATCATGATACAGGGAGAAAAGATGGACATTGTCAAAGACTTCATTTTGCTTGGATCCACAATTAATGCTCATGGAAGCAGCTGTCAAGGCATCAAGTGACATATTACATTAGGAAAATCTGTTGCAGAAGATCTCTTTATAGTGTTAAAGAACAAAGATGTCACTTTGAGGAGTAAAGGGGGCTCAATCAAAGCCATGGTATTTTTAATGGTCCCATCTGAGTGTAGAAGTTGGACAATGAATAAGGAAGACCACAGAAAAATTGATGCATTTGAATTACAGTATTGGAGAAGAATATTTAAAGTACCATAGAAAAACAAACAGTCTGTGTTGGAAGAAGTACAGTCAGAATATTCCTTATAGGCCAGATGGCAAGACTTTGTCTCTTATACTTTGGACATGTTATCAGGAGGGAACATTCCCTGGAGAAGGCCATCATGTTAGATAAAATTGTTGTTGCTGTTGTTAAGTGTTGTCGAGTCGGTTCCGACCCATAGCGACCCTGTATAGGGTTTTCTAGGAGCGACTGGTGAGCTTGAACTGCCGACTTTGCAGTTCAAAAGGCTTTTCAGTCTGGCGCATTAACCCACAGCGCCACACCAGGACTCCTCCTAGGTAAAGTTGTTGTTGTTGTTGTTATGTGCTGTGGAGTCTGTTCCGACTCATAACCACCCTGTATAGGGTTTCCAAGGCTGTGAATCTTTACCAGAGCAGAAAGCTTCATTCTTTTCCCAAGGAACAACTGGTAGTTTCCAACTGCTGACTGTAAGGTTCACAGCCCAATTCGTAACCACTATGCTACTAGAGCTCCTTCCTAGGTAAAGTAGAGGGCAGCCAAAAAGAGGAAGGCCCCAAGAAGATGAATTGGCACAGTGGCAAAGCAATGGGCTTAAATGTTAACAACAGTTATGAGGATGGTACCGGACTGCTTTATTCTGTTGTGCATAATTTACACACAGTAAGGTGCATACCTTTTAAGGATAATTTACATACAGTAAGGTGCATACCTTTTAATGATACAGCACTGTGAGTTAAGAAAAAGGAGTACCTCCATGTAACCATCATCCAGCTTGCATATCATATGGGGCAATTAAAGATACCATGGCTTGGGTGAAGCCCATCTTAGTCCTCAAATTGGCATCTTTGTTCTTTAACACTTTAAGGAGATCTTTTAGCAACAGATTTCCTGAATGCAATACATTGTTTGTGGCCTTGACTGCTGCTTCCATGAGCTACAGCTATAAAGGGATCTACGGAGTTCCAGTGTGGCACTGTAGGACAAACACTAGACTGCTAACTTCAAGGTTGGTAGTTCAAAGCCACCAGTAGCTCCTCAGAAACCCATACAGGATCCAGGATTGCTATGAGTCAGAACTGACTCCATAGCACTTAGCTGCAACAACAACATAGAGGAGCCCTTGTGTTATGCAAATTGTTAACACACACACAGCTGCTAACCAAATGGTTGGAGATTTGAGTACATCCAGAGGCACCTGGGAAGAAAGGTCTAGTCTGACACTTGTGAGATCATCAAGAGTTGGAACTCACTGGAAGGCAGTTGGTATAACTTTAGAACATTTCCATCACCCTTAAATTTCTCATGCGTCTTTTCTAAGAAAATCTACATCCTGCCTCAGACTTGTTTTTTATTACTATAAATTAATTTTGTTGGTTCTCTATATATGGAATCATACAATATGTACAAGGGAGCTTTAAAAAATTCACGGAAAAGTGGAATTAAAAGATAATAGAATTTTTTAGACTTGTTTTTTTATTGCTATAAATTAATTTTGTTGGTTCTACATATATGGAATCCTACAATATGTACAAGGGAGCTTCAAAAAATTCACAGAAAAGTAGAATTAAAAGATAATAGAATTTTTCCACAGGTTTTTTGGAGCCCACTCATACTTTTTGGGTGTGGCTTTTTGGCTTCATATGATAGACACTGGACTGCAAACCACAAGGGCTATGGTTGGAGTCTGTGAACTGCTCCTCAGGAGAAAGATGAGGCTTTCTGGCTTCATGAAGATTTAAAGCCTTGGAAACCCTATACAGGGTCCCTAAGAGTCTGAACTGACTTGATGGCACTTAATAACAACAACATAATGCTTTAGAATTTCATCTGTGATGTGTTCCTATTTAATTTTTATTTATCCTATTTATTGATGAATTGTTATTCACATAATATGGATCTACTTAGGTTTGTCTGATTTAGCAAAAAATAAATGAAAACACTGAAACACCCAAGGTTCCTAGTTAAATTTAAATTCTAATAAAGAGAGTTTTTCGAGCAATTGACAATAAAAACAAGAAGATTTTATTTTTCATATATTTAATTCATTTCCATTGTTCTTTATTCCTCTGCGTAGGTCCATGTTTCTAAACTATGGCAGATTTCTTCTATTCAAAGACTCATTAACAGTATTTATTGGTGAGTAGACATTCTGATAATTAATCCCCTTAACTTTTATTTGCCTGAAAAAAAAAATTTCTTCTTCAGTGTTGAAGATCATTTTCCCTGGGTAGGGAATTTTGGGTTTGCCTTTTCCTCTCAGCAATTGTTCTATTGTGTGATTCCTGTAAAGAAGTTTATTATAATATAAAGCTTTGCTCTTCTGTAGATAATATCTCTTTTTGGTATTCTCTGCTTTCAACCAAGATCCATCTGATATCAGCAATAATATCCCTAGTTCCATCTCTTCTTCTGAATCCAGTTTGAATTTCTAGCAGTTCTCTGTTGATGTAAGTGTTGTGCCTTTTTGAATGATCTCCAGCAAAATTTTTACTTGTTTAATTTTATTAGATGATTCCCACATTCTGTTGAGTCACCTCTCTTGGAATGGGTACAAATACAGATCTCTTCCAACCGGTTGGCCAGGAAGCTCTCCTCCAAATTTCTTGGCTTAGATGAGTGAATACCTCCAGTGCTGCATACAGTTGCTGAAAGATTTCAATTTGTATCCTGTCAATTCCTGGAGTCTTCTTTTTAGCCAATGCCTTCAGTGCAGCTTGGATTTCTTCCTTTAGCACCATCAGCTCTTGATCAGATACTATCTCTTGAAATGGTTGAACATCGACCATTTGTTTTTTACTCCTCGTATACCTTCCATCTTCTTTGATACTTTCTGCATCATTCAATATTTTACCCATTTGTTGGTGTTAAGTACCGTGGAGTCAGTTCCAACTCATAGTGACCCTGCACAGAGTTTCTGAGGCTATAGAGTTCGTCAATATTGTAAATCTAGGCTTGAATTTTTTTCTCCAGTTCTTTCAACTTGAGGGATGCTGAGTGTGTTCTTTCCTTTGGTTTTCAACGCCTGGTCTTTGCACATTTCATTAAAATACTTCACTTTGTCTTCTTGAGACATCCTTTGAAATTTTCTGTTCAACTGTTTTCCCTCCTCATTTCTTCTAGTTGCTCTATCTTGTGTACACTCAATAGAAAGTTTCAAAGTATCTTCTGACATCCATTTTTGTCTTTTCTTTCTTTCTTTTCTTTTAAATTATCTTTTGCTTTCTTCCTGCCTGCTGTTCTTGATATCATGCCACAGTTCTGATCTCCGGTCATTAGTATCTACCGCAGTAAATCTGATCTTGAGACAGTTTCTAATTTCAAGCAGAGTATGCCCAAGGTCATATTTTGGCTCTTCTGGACTTCTTCTTTTTTTCTTTTTAATATGAATCATACAGTTTGTTTGTTTGTTTTAAACCCCATTGCTGTTTAGTCTAACTTTGACTCATTGCAACCCTTTAGGACAGAGTAGAACTGCTCCATAGGGTTTTATGTTTTCTTAAAGTTTTCATTGTGAACTGCGTAATAGTTACATGGGACAACATCAGCTTTACACCATCGTTTCATTGCAATGATTACAATCTCCTCTGTGCATCATCATTCAACGGTATTTGCTTCCATTCTCTCTTTTTGTTGTTGTTTTTTGATGTGGTGAGATATACACAGAAACACATTCAAGAATATATAATAATTTAAGCAACCAAAGGGCACATTCTGCAAGCCTGCCCCCTGGCCTCCAGCACCCAGTTCCTCTCTTCCCATGGTTACAGAGTCCTCAGCTGTTCCCTCTCTCCATGTGCTCATCTCTGCCTTCAACTCTGTTGTTGCTG